AGGAGGCTTTCAGCCTTAGGCTGGTTCGCCTCCATTACCCCCAATAGAAATCACAGACGTAGTCCTACGTCAATAAAGAATGTGCCGTTCCCTGCCTTACAAAATTAACATTTTAGCAAGGAACACAATTTTAAGCAGGTGAATATATTCATCAAATTTACGACTGTCATAGAAATGGTTGATTGAAATTGATATCTCATTTAACTAAAATTAAATAAAAAATATACCAATGTAAAACCTTATGTGCGGTGACATTGGGCCAAAACATAAATTTAATTTAATTTTCTTAAAATATGTAAATTTAACGTTTCTATTAGGAGTACACTTGGTTATGATCACAATTTATTTCGTATACTCGCGTTTATCCACTTAACAGTTTGTTCAAACTTTTGTTTGCCTGTAGAAGTTTTTAAAACGTGTTTTTTCTACTGCTTATGACACTTAACTTTACAACACTATTTAAATAAAACAACTGGTTCTTGTTATCTACACTTCTAGATAGAGCTGGAATTAGGGCGTAACAGCCTTTGTAAACAATGACTTCTCTCGTTGATTTTTCGGAATTCAAGACACGCCTAGAAAAACCAACATATCCATCGGGTAGGAGAAGTCTTCCTCTACTCGATGGTGATGTCAATTTGCCAGGGAGAACAATGACTTCCCAGAAATCATCGAGAGAAGTCATTGTTTACAAAAGCTGTTACGCCCTAATTCCAGCTCTATCTAGACTTTATGCCAGGAGTTCAAGGAACCTATTTTAAAGGGTGTCCACAGTTAAATTGCATCACTTAGAAGAACTCACAAAAAAAGTCTCGCAACTGATTGTCATGAAATTTTCAGGGAATGTAATACGTATCTTATTTCCTTCTATTTTTTCACCAAATCCAAACGCTCGAACTTTATTCTTCATTACACCGATAAGGTTTTGTCCTAACTAACCAATTCAATGATTAATTCAAGAGCAAACTTAAAACTCAATTTGCTGTAAATTGTTGCTGTTGATAACAAAACCAGTATTCAATTTTGATGTTCTGCAAAGGCAATGCATACAAAACAACAACAACAACAACATATTTTTGATGAGCAAACCCGAGCAGAAAATGAAAACAAAATGAAAACTAAATTTGATATTTTGATATAAGCGTTCGTGATAACATATTTTGCCTACCGTGTGGTCGAGTAAACAGTAATCATAACAAAAATGAGATCTAAATGGTAAATGAAGGATATTATAAGGATAACAAATGATGTGTTCTTGATTAACAAAATCCATGTATGCGTTTTGATATTAGTAATTTCGTTAATAATAAACCAAATAAGTAATCAATATGTTATGTTAACTATGGTAGGAAAAAAAAAATAGTTATTATTTTGATATCATGATATCAAATTTAGTAATCTGAATGTTTTGAAATCTATTGGTTGGTTCAAAATCAAAACTTCACGCGCACTATGGAATTATTACATTGTTTCTTTACGAAAGTGCTAATGGTACCATATTAAACTACAGAACCAAAAATAATCATCCAGTAGTTCAAATTACAAGAAAGTATATAATGAATCGCTTTTGTGATTATAGACAAATAACATACTCACCTCTAATCAAAAACTGGCATTTGCGAATTTGGTACCCGAAGAAAACCCTAAAGTAAAAATATGACGAACGATTGAAATTTATTAGATCCAATAGCATAGAAATAAACGATGTGATTTTTTTTAAATTTGGAGTTTAGTTTTCATGACAAATTCCAGTGGAATTATATTCAATATAGGATACACAAATCATGTAAAAAATTAGGCTACGATGACTCTTATATTATTATGAATGATTTTCAAAATATGTTATCAACATGATTTCAAAAACATAATTTGATATCATTTTGATAGTATTTTGATATCCAACTTTGCTCGGAAATGTACAGCAAAATGAAAACGAAATTAGATAACAAATTTTCAGTTTCAGATTTCAGTTTGATGTTGATACCAAATTTTTTTTAGTAATTTTGATTTTGATGCTGAACTTTGCTCGGGTTAGTTACAGATTATTAGAAATAAACTTTATTAGAAAGTTGTTATATAAAATTTATTTGGCACATTCATAAACCGGAAGTAGTCATCTTGGATTCTTAAATGGCGTCTTCTGCCAATTATTGACCTTCGGAGACGAGCCAGCCAACGGCTGAAAGTCTCTTTAATAAAGATATAAAAAAAAAAAAATTATTGACCTCTACACATCGTTCCCGTTTAGAAAATACCCATATTGTAGAGTATTCGAAATTTCAAAAACCGGATGTCGCCATCTTGATTCCAACATGGTGTTAATAATCGACTTCCATCTTCTACACGACGTCTCCGTTTCGAAAATACCCATATTACCCATTCTAAAACGAGGTTAATGACCGATTTCCAGTTTCTACACGTCATCCCCGTTTCGAAAATATGTACCCGTATTGTTTATTGAACACACTATAAAAATGTTTGTTTTTGGCTAAGTTCATTCCTCAGAAAACACTTAGATTTTTTTGGCTCTTTGACCACGTTATTTAAAAAATCTCAAAATATTTTAACTGGAACAGATTTTCCTGAAATGACCTGGCAATGCTATCTGCGACATGTACAGCCCAATCAACCGAAAAGGTAGTTCTAATGATTGCGCCATTTTGCACATTCAACGTTCGTCACTGCTGAGCAAATTGAATGCAGAAAACGTACGCGTTCACACAGTTACTGTTATAATACCCAGTGCATACTGAGCTTCCTTGACTCAACTATTATACAGTATCACCCAACTCATCCAACAAAATAATAGGTGGATTATCGGGGTTTGACTTACCAATACGACTGTCAAATCCATACTAAAAAATCAAAACAAACAGACAGTATGCTTACAGATTTCTCGCGTCACTTTTCAAATAGACCAAAGTAACATATCCACCATTTTAAGAAAATCGAAGTTGAAGTTCGACAGATTATTATTTTAACTGTTTAAAAACAATACATTTTGCAATACTATTTTTAATTTAGTCAGTGTATAATAACGTTGAAAATTCAGAAGACGTGGTAAAATCACAATTTTACTCTGAATTTCATGCTACAACATAGAAAAAACCACATAGGACGTTTTGACAAGTCGAGTTGTACATCGGACATGTTACTTTGGACAATTTTTCTCAATGGCATAATCAATTAGTGTTACATTGGACGTTTTGTCTACATGATACTAGATTCCCTTTCACAGATTTCAGAGTATAGTACCTAACTTTAGATTGGCCCGCCTTTGGAAAATGAGCACCAATCATGTTAGGCAGTCCGAATGACCGAAGTAATTCGAAGTAAGTAAGTAACAATCATATACCCACGATTTTTAACTGTACATTGGACAATTTTTGATCAATGATTATTTTAAATAAATGAAAGTAAATTTGGATGGATGTTTTTGTTTCACATACAATGATAGAAGAGCAGTAGTTTGTATCGCTTAACTCGATTTGTTTACATTTGTTACATTGGTCTATTTGAAAAGTGACGCGAGATTTATCTGAAAATTGACAGCACCAATGTAATCAAACACGTGTTTATACTTTTTAGGCTCTGAACCATTTGGTGGATTATTTTAACTTTTGGTTAAAATTTGACAGATGAAAAGTTATCGATTAACCCTGCTATCCGAGCATGGTTATTTCTGACAGACAAGAAGTTAAATTTTGACAACCGTGGCTCGAAAACCGGTCGATCGACAGCACGGGGATTTTCGAACATAGAAAATAACTTTCGAAATGTCACTTTTAACCACGAGTTAAATTTAACTCGGCAAATGGTTCACAGCCTTAATCCGACGTTCCCCGGATTATCGAGTCATCGGATTCGCGAGTGTCAGATGAATTTCTGATAAATTGGTCCAGAATTTAGTTTTTTTCTTGCGCTATTCCATCTGGTTTTAAAAGCATTCAATTCATGATCCTGGGATTTCCGGGCAGGACCCTCAACCGTCTGCTGCTCTCATCGAAAATAGGAATCAAAGATAGTTCAGATCGCCCAGCACATCATTATTCATATGTTACCGCTTTCCTGTGTTCGACTCTGTCCGTCCTGTAGGCTGCTTGTGCTTAACTGAATAGCTTACATCTCTGCTATGTATCCCTCCGTCCAATCCATGTGCAATATTTCCCCGAAGTCTACATGTGTACATATAGAGTTTAACTCCTTTCTCAACCGAAATCATGCCCTCTAATATCTCTGAACAACTTATTATATACCTTCCGCCGCCCATGGTGGCATTCTGTCCAAATGTACCAAATCAACTGTACTTGCTTATGAAAACCTAAAGGCAAACGAGGCCGCACTCTGTCTACACCGAATCTTCTCCGTCCGTCACGCGAAGAGACTCCTTCGGGACCAACAGAATCCAGAGGGGAGCTAAAAAGCGGTTGCAAAATCGAAACACACAAATACATATCACACGTTTCATGCAAGTGCCTAACCATGTGCTACGCCAAAAAACCCAAACCAAATCATAAAAAAAAAAATCGCGGTGCCTTTCGTAGAAAGCGTTGTTAACACATCAGACAAGCATTGTTCAAATTTGACGTTCCATGACCAGAACACAGCAAACCTTGCATGTGTCTCACTAACAAGAATGTGCGTTTGTGTGTATCTGTTGAATGTGACTAGGCTTCTGTTTGTCTTCTACACTTCTCTGAAAGTAAGTTGAAATCGTTGTGATAAACTGTTTTGTACCATTTTGTTACTACTGCTTTTGCGTTTTTATTCTAAATTTTTGGTTTTTGTTTTAAGTAGAAGAATGTTATGCTTTTTTGAAAACGTTATTGTTATTGGTAGTTGTTAGCAGAGATGGTTTGATGAGACAGATTCTCGATTTGGAGATGTAAATCTAATAGCAATTAATGCCGAGGCTCGTCAAACTAGTCATAAATTGCAGAAGGCAAGATTAGCAAAAATTAATTTAAAACATTTCAATTTTTCCACTACCTTTCCCGAAGGCCGATGACATATGCTATTCGGTTCTGTGCGTCTTCTCGTATGTGGCTGCCGGGCAAGAATGGCAAAAGAAATATCCAGCCATCACGTTGGCTGGTCCCGCGTCACATGGAACGCAACATGTAGTTTCATTGACGACAACTACCGCTCAGCAGCAACAGGTTGCCCAACCTGCCCCTCCGGCGATGAAACTTACCGCACAACCTGTGCAACCTCCAACGCAAAATAGCCAAAAGGTACAACAGACACATCTACCACAGCAAACTTCCCCCAAATTACAGACCGTTATCGGTAAACCTATCCCGCAACAACAGCAGCAGCAGCAACAGCAGCAGCAGCAACAACAGCAACAACAGCAACAACAACAACCACCGCAACAACCTATTCATCGACCTCCACCGCAGCAGCCTCCACCGGTCAGTCCTGTTCCTCAGCTGAAGCAAGCCCCATCCATTCCCGCTCGGCCCGTCTCAGCATCCACCTCGGTGTCTGCATCGACGACATCCTCCTCTTCATCCTCCACCTCGTCAGATCCACCTAAGATCAAACCCCCGGTTCTTCCATCATCGACCGGACGCCTGCCCCAGCAATCGTCCCTTCCCAACCGTGGTCCACCACCGGCCATCCCACCCCGGATTGGACTCGGACAGCGGTCCGGTTCGGTGCAGATACCTTCCAGTTCGACCGGTGATTCCCATCAGATGCGGCAGCTCAAGCGGCAACAGTCGGCCGCATCGCCTCCTAGCCAATCACCACCGTCGCATCACTTTCAACATCAGACTCAGCAGCAGCAGCAGCAGCAGCAGCAGCAGCAGGGGCCACAGCAGCAATATCAGCAGAGGCAGAATTCCAAGGGAACAATCAATCTGTATCGAAAGAATTAAGAACGTTAAGGTTATTTTTTGAGGGTTATGGAAATGTTTATTTTTATTACAATTAATGACCCTTTGGCCGAAGATATCATATCAATATGGATATGTTGTCTTCGCTTTAACCCTAAGGTCATGCAGGTTAGATGAAAATGTTTATTTCACTGCTATTTAGCTGGAGGAGAACGTTACGATCGACATTTAGAAGTAGTCAATGATTAACGGTTGCCTGGTAAATTATTGCAAACTGCATACTTTTTTCACAGTCTTGAACTTGTTTAAAAACTTAAGAATAATGATTAGTTAAGCCCTTGAAATCCAGGCGAAATTCTAATATAGGCACCTCGATGTCCACTAATACCCTGGACAGACTATGGCTTATATCATGTAATATAGGCTGTCTTGCAATGAGCACTCATACATAGGATTTCCAGTGAAAACTAGATGTATGAGTGCTCATTGCAAGACAGCTTATATTACATGATATAAGCCATAGTCTGTCCAGGGTATAAGTCGATACGGTCGATACCGATCTATACCACCATAGTGAATTTCATGGCTACTGCGATGGTGCTTTCCTGTGGGATTGTTGGTCTATAACTCGATGGTCCCTTCAATATCGAGTTATAGAGAGTTCTCTGTGCCTTATTTTGACTTTAGTAGTAATAGCGATGATTTGTAGAAACAATATATCAGCTGATAATTATTGATTAATTGAAATTGATTTTTGCCATGTATTCTCAATTAAATACGTTCGAAGTTAACTCACCCTCTGGTGGTGAGCGCTGACAAAAGCAGTAATAAGTGTCTAATCGGCGCATGTTCTCAACAGTCTAAGAGGTGAAATATGCATCTTCGTTGTTTGACGGATAACAATTTACACACGCAAACAGACATAACACCTTAATCTTGGTTGTCATTGCTTGCAAGTCAGTTTGCAAGCTTATGTTGCGCAGTTAGTTCGCTAGATGTCGTTACTAAATTTCAAAACGATGTTTTGAACATAAATTTGTTCAAAGAGTAATGTCTGTTTGTCTGTGCAACTAATAATTCATGTATCGGGTATTGATGGTCCGAAAGTTAGGATAACAATAACAAACCAACATTTCTGGCTGAAACAAAAGTGAGGATGACAAACTTGAAAATATGATTACGCAAGTGTGCGTGTTATAAACGTCAAAAAGGTCAATATTCATATTTATGATTTCAAGAGTCATGATTTTTCTACTAGCCGTATCTGCTTTTGTAAACAAAGATTCAAACGTCGATTTGTCGAAACTCTTAGCTCACCCACGTAAACTAGCACCGCCATAATGTTGGGGAAACATTACCCGAGCACAGTCTGAGATCAAATTGAAATCTAAATTTGATGTTGTGATTTCGCTGATAATGGTTGCTTAGGTTGCTGCCGTTTTGGTCGTTTTAACGGTTAAAATATCAAAGTGAAAGCAAAAAAATCTTCACATTGAAAACTATTTCTGCTATCAGTGAGAGCAAACTGAAAACTCAATTTAATATCAATTTTTCCTGTTGATAACAAAACAAGTATTCAATTTGATGTTATGCTAAGGCAATGAAAACAAACCCGCAACAACATATTTTTGAAGAGCAAATGTACAGCAAAATGAAAACCAAATTTGTCAATTGCATAAACTGAAATCAAATTAAGATTTCAGTTAGATGTTGATATCAAAACTTGATGTCAAATTGCTGTCATTTTGATGCTGTACTTTGCTCGGGTACCCAACCTGATGGTGGTGCTAGTTTGGTGACGTTTATTTACAAAAACAGATACGGCTATTTGAAATTTCCCTCTTGATTTTCAATTTTGTGAAAATTCAACAGAATAACTGAAACTAACAAGCAAATTTGCTCCTTCGTGAGACTGCGTTATAAGAAAATCGACTCAGTTACGGAAATCTAAATGTAAACTTTGTAAAAGTGCAAGTTCCCTCAATATGATGTACATAGAAAAATAGAATGTTCAATATCAAAACAGTTACAAGAACGTATCAAAAAAAAAAAAAAAAATGAACCGAAACCAAACCACACCGTTTAACAAAACAGTAGTGTATCATAGATAGATAATTCATTCAATGCAGAGAAATATGTATATTAAAAAAAAACCGAACTTAATATCCGGGAACTTTGAAATGATCACTGTTGCTAAATTTCAGTATTTATTGAAGGTTGGATGGGCGTGCTTTGCGTGGTGGATCTGTGAATGTATTAGTTTTTGTTTTATTATTGATGACCAATTTCCCGTCCCGACTGTCATCGGAGCACCTTCAGCTGCTGTATACACTGATAGGCAAAATAAAGTGCCCACCCCATCATTTTTGAAATTTCTCTCATTTATTTGGTTCAAATTCAAATAAACACACCGTAGTCTGTTTCGATGTCTTACCTTTATTATTCTTTTAAAGTTACACCTATGGAATACTGAAAATATAAAGTTTTACTTGAAGTAAAAGAAAATCAATTTGGATTGAAAAAGAAAACAGTGACAAAAAAAAGTGCCCACTTCAAAAATCGGTATGTTTTCGATAAGTTTCCATCGGAAAACCCCTCGATTGTTTTTGTTTTGAAAGTTTGACATGTATTGAAGCAAACGGGTGGAACTGGTGCATTTGTACACGTGATCGCATTTGAATCAGTTGAAAAAAATGGAGGACGTAGTGATTTCGAAAGCAATTCCCGTGTGTATCCGAAAATTGGTTGTTCGTGATGTGCAAAACGGTGAATCGCACCGGTCTGTCGCTAGGAAGTACAATATCAGCAAAACAGCGGTCGGGAAAATTCTGCAGAAAATGAAATCGTTCGGATCAGTGGTGGATCGCCCTGGCAGAGGCAGGATGCGCAAAACGGATGCGAGAACGGACACCAAGATCATGCGTGAAGTGAAGAAGAACCCGAAGGTAACTGTCCGCGAGATCCAGGAGGCTCTTCAGCTAACAGTTTCCAGTCGAACTGTTCGTCGCCGTCTCGTAGCACAGGGGTTGAACAGCAAAGTTGCTCGGAAGCGCCCATTTATCAGCAAGGCAAACAAAGTCAAACGGCTTAAGTTTGCTAAGGAGCATGCTGATAAGCCCCTAGAGTTCTGGAAAACGGTTCTCTGGACGGACGAATCAAAATTCGAACTGTTCAACCGGAAGCGACGGGTTCGTGTGTGGTGTAGATCGGGTGAGGAGCTTCAGGAGCGCCACATACAAGGCACGGTGAAGCATGGAGGAGGAAATGTGATGGTCTGGGGGTGCTTTTCGTGGGGTGGAGTGGGAAGCCTGGTGAAAATCGACGGGATAATGACGGCAGATTCCTACATCGACATCCTGCGGGAAAATCTGGAAGTTTCGCTGATCCAGACGGGCCTTGAGGAGAAATTCGTATTCCAGCAGGACAACGATCCGAAGCATACTGCCAAGAAGACTAAGTCTTTCTTCCGGTCATGTCGAATTAAACCACTGGAATGGCCTCCACAAAGCCCGGACCTCAACCCCATCGAGAATTTGTGGGCGATTCTCGATGCCAGGGTTGACAAAACTGGTGTTACCAATAAAAATAACTATTTTGAAGCCCTGGAGCGCGCCTGGGAAGAACTAGATCCACAGCACCTGAAGAATCTAGTGGAGAGCATGCCGAAGCGCCTGCAGCTGGTCCTGAAGGCCAAAGGAGGACACATTAACTATTAGGCTGGTATTCTTTTACTTTATTTTATGTTTTCTGGAGTTAAAATGCAGTGGGCACTTTTTTTTGTCACTGTTCTTTTTTACACCCATTTTGATTTTTTTTTCTTCGAGTCAGTCTCTTCTTTTTATCTGGTATTCTATAAGTGAAACTTAAAAAGAATATAAAGAATAAGATATAAAAAATACTACAGTGTATTTACTTTAATTTGAACCAAATAAATGAGAGAAATTCAAAAAATGATGGGGTGGGCACTTTATTTTGCCTATCAGTGTACTTTCGATTAGCTGTTTTCCTATCAGTGTACGCATTTAAGAAAGAATTGAGTCCCAATAAACAACAACGTAAAGATGCTTTAAGAGAATTGTATGTTAAATTTAGTGATAATGTTGTTTTTAACCGAGCCACGAATTCGGAATGAGTTGAAAGCTTTAATTCTAGTTTGTGTAGGGAAGAGGTTAGGGAAAAAGATAAGCGTTAGAAATTTACGATAGTTATCAGCTGCTTCCTCACGTTAGAATCAGCTTGTTGACAAGGGCAGACAGATACGTCTAGGATGATGTCTGTAGAAGTGAAATGTAATGCAAATAAATCGGTATGAAAACGGATCAAGCATTCTTGCATTCTTTAGTGTCCATGATGGTGAAGTATCACAATCCGATTCTTAATAATAATCCACTTTACATTGAAAAAAAAAATGCATAAGGACTGTGTGTGTGTGTGTGTGTGTGTGTGTGTGTGTGTGTGTGTGTCTGTGTGTGTGTGTGTGTGTGTGTGTCTGTGTGTGTGTGTGTGTGTGTGTGTGTGTGTGTGTGTTTTTTTTTTTTTTTTTTTTTTTTTTGGCAAGGAGGAAACCTTCAAAAAGGCCATCGTGCCACCGCTTGACGACTGGGCGCACAGTCGCGGTGACACGGTGTGTGGGATTCTTACCGCACTAAAACCTCCTTAGACGCCTTGCCCTTTTCCCCCGGAACCACTTGTCGTATTACTTCGGAGGGGGCCGTGCATTACGCACCTCACTTTACCTCAGCTAATTGGCGCTTCCAGTTCGCTGATCGTCTCTCCAATTTGTGAGCCATTTATCTCCCAGCGTCACGTTCTACTCGGTTATCCCTGGTGGTGGATACAGCCTACTCTGACGGAGAGTTCTCCCGGCTTCGGCTTTCAGTTCGCACTTGTGTGAGCACATTACTACTTTCTAGTTGGTCTTCCCGCCATTTTCGCTGCAGCGCTGACATGATCTGCGTTACTGCTCTGCTGACGGCGTTAAAGGTGCCCTCCTCTCGACACATTTCTTCGACGACATTCTCCGTGCTAAGGGCGAGCATATCCTCTCGCACATCATCAAATCTAGGACATTCGAAGACCACGTGCTCTGGTGATTCTTCCACATTCCCACACTCCGGACAGAAGGGTGACGTTGTGTGTCCGAACCGATGCAGGTACTTCCTGAAGCAGCCATGACCAGACAGGAACTGCGTCAAGTGGAAGTTGACTTCTCCATGCTTCCTGTTCACCCAGGTCGAAAGAGTCGGTATTAGCCTGTGTGTCCATCTACCGTTCTCTGCTGCATCCCACTCCTGCTGCCACTTAGCCATCGACTCCGTTCTCACCATTTTTCGTACTCCTCTGGTTTCTCTCGTCATATAGCACTCGTAGTCCTCCGCC